GAAAAGGGTGTTCCCCCCTCCCAGGAGACAGCTGGGGACCAGGGTCGGCCCCGTCTTGGGCTTTGCAGTCAATTGTACAGCGAGGTTGGGGCCGGGGCAGTTGTGGGGTTCAGAGATTCCGCAAGCTGGAGCGAGTGGGGGCTGTGTTCACCCCTCACTGTGCCCGGCTGCTTAGGGACCCTGGGTGGGTGGGAAAGGGCCCTTTTATCCAGACACCAGGAGCTAGCTGGAGGCCCGCTTCCAGACGGTTCCAGAGGCTCAGCTGTTGGCAGTCTGTGTGGGTTTCTGAGACCACCTCCCCCGCCCCCGCCCCGCCAAGCCCGCCTAGAAAGCCGGACCCCGGGTGACCCGCGGCGTTTACAAAGCTCCCTTGACTAGCCCAGCGACGATAAGGGCCAGTGAAGGGGGAGAGCCAGCCAGTGGGGACGCAGGGTCAGCACCCTGGACAGCGCCCCCGGCTCTCGCGGCCCACGGCGGGGAAGAGCGGAGACCCTCCCAAGCCGCCACACAAAGGGACGTCTGTGCCAAGGCCCCACTCCCGGAAAATGAGTGACAAGGCCCCATTGTCCCGGGGGTCTGGTCACCGAGGCTTTTCCGTGTCGTGGTGCTTGACCCTGATAGTTCTGGCCAGGCTGCCAAGAACCCGAGGGCAGAGGGCACTCGGGAGGCCTGTGGGTGGGGCGGCCGTCAGAAAGGGTCCAGAGAGAAACGCCTGCTTGTGGCAGGAAACGGGTCAGAGCTCGGAGTTCAGGGACAGGAGTGCCCAAGTCGTGCTCGGCAGGCTGACGCTTACTGGACGGGGCCGGGAGTCGGACACGAGGGTGGACGACAGGACATCTGGGGGGGCGGGGAGTGTGGGAAGGCCGCCTGTCCAGTTTCCGCATGGGTGGGAGCAGATGTTCAGGCTGGGGACTGAGCTCAGGCCCCAAGCACCTGCCTTGTGTGTAACCAGTCCCATTTTGATCCCGGACACCCCAGACAGTACCCACGCCCCACCAGGAGTGAACCCTGAGTGCCACTAGGTGTGGCTCACCCTATTCTTCCACCCACTAACCCTCAAATCAGTTTTCTTCTTCTTTGTTGCATTTTGGGTCACACCCGGCGATGCACAGGGGTTCCTCCTGGCTCTGCACCCAGGGATCACTCCTGGCGGTGCTCAAGGGACCCTATGGGATGCTGGGAATCGAACCCGGGTCGGCCGCGTGCAAGGCAAACGCCCTCCCCGCTGTGCTATCGCTCCAGCCTCAGTTTTCTTCTGATGAGGACCAGGAGAGGACACGCATGAGCGGACAGCGAGAAGGCCCAAGTCCACGGCAGCCAGGCCGCTGGGGAACACGCCTGCTCCCACACATTGGGTCTTCTCTGGGTGGTCAGGGTTTTGTGGGAGGGTTTCAGACAAGCACCGTGGTCCAGCCCCGTAAAATCATTCGGAGTCCCAAAGAATCCCTCCCCGGTGGCAGGTCACCTTTACTGAGTTTCAGAGCAGAAACCGCGTCCCAGTGACCTGCAGGGGTGCCTGGGGTCATGACAGGCACGAGTCTGCAGACGTAAATAATGAGTCCTCCTTCCGTGGGTCTCGACTGTAGGAAACGGGGCCGTTCCTGTAGCGTGGGGAGGATTATCTCTGTACATCCCGTTCACACAGGCTTGGCTTGTGTACACCAAGGTCAGAGGAGGGGGTTTATTTATTTACTTATTTATATTTTTAGTTTGTTAGGGTTTTTTGTTCTTTGCTTCCTTTTGGTTTTTTTTTGTGGGGGTTGCTTTTTGGGTCACACCCGGCATTGCTCAGGGGTTCCTCCTGGCTCTGCACTCAGGAATTACTCCTGGCGGTGCTCAGGGGACCCTATGAGATGCTGGGGATCGAACCCGGGTGGGCCGCATGCAAGGCAAACGCCCTCCCCACTGTGCTATCGCTCCAGCCCCCCACCCCCTGCAGAGGAGAGTCTTGGCCAGGAAAATTCTGCCTGACTGTAATTCAGATCCACCAAACTAACTAAGGCCCCAGCTAGATGCTCTTTCTTTGCTCTCTCTGCTGAAAACTTGGTGGGCATTAGCACCAAAGACCCAACTCCGGCCCTCTCCCCCCAAAAAATGCCACAAGCAGTTCAGAGGGCACACAGCAGCCACACGCCGCCTCACTCAGGCCTCACTCACTCCGGCCGTTCGGGCCCGGCCTTGGGAGGTACAGGTGGACTGTGGCACCAAGGGGGTTCGTTATCACAGAGCTGGGGGCGTGGGGAGCTTCGAATCAGTGACCAAATGAACAGATTTTTGCCCCCGGGACAGCCTCCCCAGTCACCTGGCAGCTCGCTGGAGCCAACTCGTCCATCATCACGAACCCCCAGACCCCCCTGCCTCACCCCGGCATCTCTCCAGAGCTGACACGAATGCAGACTTTTTTTTTTTTGCTTTTTGGGTCATACCCAGCAATGCACAGGGGTTCCTCCTGGCTCTGCACTCAGGAATCACTCCTGGCGGTGCTCGGGGGACCCTATGGGGTGCTGGGGATCGAACCCAGGTGGGCCGCGTGCAAGGCGAATGCCCTACCCGCTGTGCTATCACTCCAGCCGCCCCAAACCTGGCTTTTAACCCCTCATCTCCCCCTCAAGGTCAGGAGCCCATCGGACCTGCCCACAGGGATAGTCGTTTTGACGCCCAAAGGTGCAGAGCCCTGGACCTGTTCATCGCCTGAAAACAGTTTCTGAAAACGCTGTCTCGCTTCTGACCTCTGCGCTTTGCACTGGCCCTGGGTGGCTTCTCCACCTGCCCTCCGTTCTCTGGCCAGGTGAACTCTGCCACGGTGCATTTGGGTCTTCGCTGGCACTGCTCGGGCGGAGCCGGGGCTGGAAACCCCGATCGGTCTACCGCACCGCACACGAAAGAGAAGCCAGAACATCCGCCCCTCAGCCTTTTTCCTCTCGCGGCCCCCAGGTGGGGACACGCACCGACAGACACTGCGGCCTGTCTGACTCCCAGTTATTAACAACCTGTCCGTGGGGGACTGGCCTCCTGCCAGGCGGCGGGCGAGTCACTGCTAAATGAAAGGATGGGGGTGGTACTGCGGAGCTCGCGGGGAAGATGGGAGGACAGCTCGTCAAAAGCAAAGACGCTTCTCTGAGAACCCCACAGTGAACCGGGGCGTCGGGAAGGTAGGAACGAGGAGGACGAGCGCTCCTGGATCCCACCCGAGTCTCTCGCGCCGCTTCCCGACTGTCCTCAGTGCCAGGCGAGGCGCCTTCACACACCGGCACAGGACCCAGCAAAAGTTCCCGAACCCCATTGCCGAGTGTGACCCAAAAAGCAAAAAAAAAAAAAAAGAAAGTTCCCTAGCTAGAGGGGAGGCCTGAGCAGCACAAGGGGACAGGCACATGGCCAGCATTTGCTAAATAAACATCTGGTGGGCACCTTAGACCACAACACAGAGTAAGGGTCCCACTGAGGGTCCACTCTGCAGGGAACGCTTCCACTGGACTCTGGGGGGGGGGGGGCTGGGAGGGGGCTTTGTGTTGTGTTTCGTCCACTCCCCCACTCACTGTGTGCCCCAAGCAGGCCCTGGTCAGGCACACACAAAAATGGCCCTCAAGTTCCAGGCTTGCTTCAGGGGTCCATGGCTCACCGTGTTTTGGGGACATTTTGGGGTCACACCCGACGATGTTCAGGGGGTTAGTTACCCCTGGCTCTGCACTCAGGGATCACTCCTGGCGGTGCTCGGGGGACCTTATGGGATGCCGGGGATCGAACCCGGGTCAGCCGGTTGCAAGGCCAACGCCCTCTCTGCTGTACTATCACTCCGGTTCATTTTTTATTTGGTGTTTTTTGTTTGTTTTTTTCCTTTTTGGGTCACACCCAGTGATGCTCAGGGCTGACTCCTGGCTCTGCAGTCAGGAATCACTCCTGCGGTGCTCGGGGGGAGCTTATGGGGTGTCAGGGATTGATCCCCAATCAGCTACATGCGAGGCAAAAGCCCTCCCTGCTGTGCTATCACTCCAGCCTGGTGGCTTACTGTGGGAACAAGCAACCTCTGCGGCCAGGGCCTGCATCAGTGACCCCAAAGGTCCTCAGGCCCCGCCTGGAGCAGGTGGCAGGCAGAAGCACCCTGAAGAAGGCTGTGGGTGGGCTGGGCCCGAGGGGTAGCAGAGCACCGACCCGAGTTCGTCCCCGGAGCACCGCAGCAGTGATCCCTGAGTGCAGAGCCAGGAGTGAGCCCTGAGCATCGCCGGGTGGGACCCCTCCCAAACGAAACAGACAAAGAGAAGGCGGTGAGGGCTCTCCCTGGTGGGCGCAGGGGGGTCGCTGGACTCTGGAAGCGCCCGGCCTTGGCTCTGCGCAGCCCCGATCGCCCCAGGGGCCGCGTTTCCAAGATTTTGCTCAACAGCTCGGCCAAACCCTTGGCCTTTGGGTGCTGGGTATTGGGGTGCAGAGAGCGCGCCGGGGGTGGGGGGTGGGGGGTGCAGCTCCCTCTGCACCGGGGGGCACGGAAAGGCTGTGCCAGGCGAAGCAGCTTGGGGGAAGGGGCGATCGGGGGTCGGGAGGGGGGTCCCGGCCCGGCCCAGGTTCCGGCCAGCAGGAGCAGCGGCGACCCCGGGGCCGCCGCGCCCCGCGCGCCCCACGTGCCGGGGCCCCACCCGGCGCGTCCGGGGCCCTTTAAACGCCCCCCGCCCGCCGGCCGCCCGCCCTCCGCCCCGCCCTCCGCCCCCCACCCGCCAACGGCAGCCGGCGAGGGACAATCTAGCGGCGCGGGGCCGGTCGCCGCCGCCGCCGCCGCCTGCGCTCCCGGCCCGGCCGAGCGGGCAGCCGGGCGCTCGGGGGGCGCGGGGGGCGCGCGGGGCGGCGCGGGGCGCGGGCGCTCGCACCCGGCTTCATGCCGCCGCCGCCCGGGCGCGGGGCGGGGGGCGCGGGGCCGCGGGGGGGCCGCGCCCGAGCCGCCGGGGGCGCCCACCGCCGCCGCCTAGCAGCGCACGCGGGGGGCGGGCGGGCGCGCGCGGGCGTCGGGGCCGCGGGGACCCCCGGGGGATGCCCGGCGGCGGCGCGCGCTGAGCCGGGCCCGGAGCGGGCGTGACGGGCGCCCCCCGGCCGCCCCCCGCCGCGCCGCGCCATGGGCTGCGTCCAGAGCATCACCTGCAAGGCGCGCGTCCGGCGCGAGAACATCGTGGTCCACGACGTGTGCGCCACCATCGACCAGTGCCCCACGCGCATCGAGGAGACGTCGCCCATCGTCCTGCGCTACAAGACCCCCTACTTCAAGGCGTCGGCGCGCGTGGCCATGCCCCCGATCCCCCGCCACGAGACCTGGGTGGTGGGCTGGATCCAGGCGTGCAACCAGATGGAGTTCTTCAACACCTACAGCGACCTGGGCATGTAAGCGAGCGCCCCGCACGCGCGCAACCCCGCACACGCGCGCCCCGCACACGCGCGCCCCGCACACGCGCGCCCCGCACACGCGCGCCCCGCACACGCGCGCCCCGCACACACGCGCGCACACACGCGCCCCGCGGGCGCTTTTGTTCCCAGCCGAGCGGCGGGCACCGCGCGCGACCCGGCGGCTTTGGAGAGGTGGACCCCGGGCAGGGCGCGCGCGGGGCCGCGGGGAGGGGGGTTTCGGGGCGCATCTGTGCGGCCCCGAGAGGAGTTTTGGGGGGGACCTGTAGAGAGACAGACAGACCGAGCGAGAGAGACGGGGCGCAGGGGCTGTGCCGCGCGCGCGTCCTTTGGAGAACCCCGCTGCGGGCCTTGGCAGCCTCCCCGGCCGCGGCTGCCGCCCGCGGTCCCTCCCACGGGGGCTTCGAACCCTGGACTCCGAGGCCAGCAAGGCCGGCCACGGGGCCGAGTCGGGGCGCGGGCGGCGGGCGCGGCCCGGCCCGCGCGCGCGGTCTGCGGCGGGCGCGGCGCGGCGCGCGGGGCGGGGACCCCGGCGGGCAGCTCGGGCGTCCGGTGGCCGCGGGTCTCTGCCCCCAAACTTTCCCGGGCGCGGCGCCGGGCACCCCTGGGGCACCCCTCGGAAGGGATTGGCGGCCCCGCGCGCCAGCCGGGAGCTCTCCAACTTCTTCCAGCAGCGGCGCGGCGCTCGGTGCGCGCGCGACGCGGGGGGCTGGGGGGCACCTGCCAGCCGCCGGCACCCCGCTGGCCCCAAGTGCCGCTTCCCGGAACGGACGCCGATCTGGCTGGCTTGGCGAGGCTGGAAGGTCTGGGGCCTACATCCTCCGGGCCGGTCCAGGGGAGCATCTGGGATGCGCCCGCGCCCTCTGGGGAGACCCTTTGCTGGAAGCCCACCCCCTTTCATTCATTAATTGGAGACTCAGGGCGCTCCACCCTCCCCGCCGCGTTCCCCTGTTGCATATGGATTTGGGGTGGAGGAGTTGGCATCGCCAAGGGGCAAACCCGCTTCCTCCAGGCAGCTGGTGGGTTTTGTCTTTTTTTTTTTTCCTTCCCCTTTTAAATTGCACGCAGAGCTTGGAAGTGAGGGAGTCACAGTCGCTGAAAGGAATTTTGACAAGCCTCTGTCGCCTCCCCCACCCCCGACCCAAAGAGTTTGAACTTTTGGCTGGAAACCGAAGATCTGCTGCCAGCTAAGCTCCCTGGGGCCCGCGGAGCCGCTGGGCGCCACCCTCCCTCCCCTCTTCCTGCCATGCGCGCTCAGCCTGGCTCCTGCGGGCACCTGGGTGCGAGGGGACCGAGACCTTGGCCTTCGGGGTGAGTCATGCCGCTTTAAAGCAGACACACCCTAACGGTCTCTCCTTGGGGTTTATTTAGAAACCTGTAATTTGCAGTCAAGTCAGAGAAAGTCCCCCCCACCAGCCGGGCCCCGGGGGGCCATCCCTCAGTTTTGCCCAGCCTGGCCCTGGGCAGCCGGGCTGGCAGCGGGACATCTCTGCAGCCCAGGGGACCAGGGACAGGAGGCTGGTTCCTGTCGACGCAGAAGGCGTCCCAGGGTGGTCGGAAACGGGTGGGAACGGGAGAAACCCACCCGAGATCTCAACACGCCGAGACCGTGGCTCACATGGAATCGGATCTAATCTCTTGGGGGCAGTGTGTGTGTGTGTGTGTGTGTGTGTGTGTGTGTGTGTGTGTGTGTAGGGTGGGGAGAGGGATCAGGCCTCCGTCAAACTGCTACTTTCGGTACTTTTAAGATCCTCGGTTTTCCTGTGGTTAAAGCCAGGTCGCAAAAATAGCCCCCGAGAAGCCACCAAGCCTGTGATTACAAAGTCGACCTCGCAATTGTTGCTTGGGGTTGAACCGGATTTCATGGAGCCTATTTCGGGGGCGAACGCTGATGCAGGCATCCGCTTTAGTTTGTTTTGGGGTCACAGCCACAGCAGCACGTGGGGATACTCCCAGCTCAGTGCTCCGGGGTGGCCATAGCCAGGGGAGCAGGTCGTGCTGGGCTCCCACGTGCGAAGCCCGCACTCCAGCGCCTGGGATCATCTCAGGCCAGAGGCTCCAGACTCCTGTTGGCTGCACACCCCGCTGGAACCAGACAGGGCAGTGGGACAAACGCCCAGGGCACCTCTGACCCGCACCCTGCCAGGAAGTGACCCCTCATTATCTGGCGCCTGGCACAGTGGGGATGCGTTTGCGTAGAGAGCAGATGAGCGCCAAGACAGTCCGAAATCTCTGATGGTTGAGAGGCTTCAAAACTGAGTTGAGGGGCCGGAGCGATAGCACAGCGGGAAGGGTGTTTGCCTTGCACGCGGCCGACCTGGGTTCGATTCCCAGCATCCCATGTGGGGGGCTGGATCAATAGCACAGTGGGTAGGGCGTTTGCCTTGCACGCAGGCAACCTGGGTTCAATTCCCAGCATCCCATATGGTCCCCTGAGCACCGCCAGGAGTAACTCCTGAGTGCAGAGCCAGGAGTAACCCCCTGTGCATTGCCGGGTGTGACCCAAAAAGCAAAAAAAAAAAAAAAAGAGGCCTCAAAACTGAGTTGAGGGACTGGAGCGACAGCACAGCGGGGAGGGCGTTTGCCTTGCACGCGGCCGACCTGGGTTCGATTCCCAGCATCCCATAGGGTCCCCCAAACACCGCCAGGAGTAATTCCTGAGTGCATGAGCCAGAGGGAACCCCCGTGCATCGCTCAGTGTGACCCAAAAAGAAAAAAAAAACTGAGTTGAGGGACCAGAGAGATAATATAGCGGCAGGGACACTTGCCTTGCATGCCACTGACGGGTTCGATCCCCGGCATCCCTTATGGTTCCCAAGCACCAGCAGGAACGATCACTGCACACTGAGCCCGGAGGAGGCCCTGAGCACTTAACCACAACCCCAGAAAGGGAGCTTACCAACCTTAAAAGGTGAGCTTTTGGGGCTGGAGCGATAGCACAGCGGGGAGGGCGTTTGCCTTGCATGCAGCCAACATGACCAACACAGGTTTGAGCCCCAGCATCCCATATGGTCCCCCGAGCACCGCCAGGAGTGATTCCTGAGTGCATGAGCCAGGAGTAACCCCTGAGCATCGCTGGGTGTGACCCAAAAAGCAAAAAAAAAAAAGTAAGTGAGTTTTTATGGTTCAAATTTCCCGCCTTTCTGAAAGGAGTCTGACTGGGCCTCGGAAGTACCCGCCACATCCCCTTCTCCCTCCTCCCCGCCGCCCCCTGCAAGGCTCTCTAGAACCCTCTTGCTGCAGACAAACCTTCTTGCCGGCTTCGGTTGGCAAGACTTGCCAGCCTGTCTGGGCACTATTTGGAAAACAAGGGTAGCTGGTAGCTGCTACTTCTGTGTACGTGGGGTGAGAGGGCCCATGCACCAGAGCACCCTGGCATGGGGGGTGGGGAGTGGGAGGACGGATTCAGTGAAGGGAGTAACAGCAGGTGCTTCAGGGAGGACCAGGTGCAGTTCCCTGCGAAAAGGGAAGAAGAAGATGCAGTTCCCAGAGAATAGGAAGAGCTCCGGAACCGTGGGGGTCGGGTGGGGAACGAGAAGGTGTGAGAGACTCAGAGACTGACCCGCAGACCTGGAAGGGACGAGGCACAAGCCCACCTCTTGTTGTACTTTGGTGTGTTTTTTTTTTTAATTTTTGGGTCACAACCGGCGATGCATAGGGGATTCTCTTGGCTCTGCATTCAGGAGTCACTCCTGGAGGTGCTCAGAGGACCCAGTGGGATGCTGGGAATTGAACCCGGGTCGGCCGCGTGCAAGGCAAACGCCCTCCCCGCTGTGCTGTCTCTCCAGCCCCAAAGCCCACCCTTTGTAACCAGCTACAGGGGAGTCCTCTGCCTCATGCCTCGGGTTCTGGTGCAAAAAAGAGGGACCCTGAGTCAGCTCGGAGCAGGGTATTCTGTGGTTTGGTTTTGTTTGGGGGGGGGGTCACACCAGGCTGTGCTCAGGGCTTACTCCTGGCTCTGCACTCAGGGACCACTCGTGGTGGTGCTCAGAACCAAGTGGGAATGCCGGGGATCGAACCCGGGTCAGCCTGCGTGCAAGGCAACCGCGTCCCCGCTGTACTATGACTCCGGGCCCAGAACCAGGGTGTTTTGAAAGACAGGCCAGCATGGAGTGTCCAGGCCAGTGGCCGGATTCCCCTGATTTGCTCCCCCCCATCACATGTGCCGGAAACCCCCTGTATTATCTCCTAGACGATGTGTCACACACCCCGCGACCCCTGCTGTATCCACCCCCTCTGCAAACCCTCAGGGTGCTGCCAGCCCTCAGCCTCTGTCTGGCATGGCTTCACCCTTGCCACCTTGCCCAGCAGTCTTGGAAGCAGAGCGTCACCCTGAAAGACATCGGTGCCCTCTGCTGCCTGCACCCCGTGGCCGTGATCACCCTAAGCATCTTGGCCATAGCCGCCACTGCCCTTCCTGCAGAGGAACTGACCCCTCCACCCACACACACACACACACACACACACACACAGACTTTCCCCTGGACTGCTGCTGTCCTAAATGTTCCCCCTCCTCCCCACTCAGCTGCCCACTGCGGCCCGTCCCAAGCCGTGGCATGTTTGCCCAGCGTCCGCCCTGCCCACAGGGTTGCAAGGCACCGCGGTGTCGGATGGCCCTTTCACTCTGCTCGCGTGAACGGCGGCGCAGCCCGAGCAGATGTTCAATAAATATTTGATAGAAATAAACCAATGAGTCGACTTCCCCACCAGCCTCCTCGTGGCGAGTCGTGGCCCTCCTTAAAGCTGGCCTTTCCTGGGCCCCGGGGAGGGCACCTGCCTGGCAAGGCAGGAAGCGTCACAGACAAACCAGCCATGAGCGTTATTGGGCTGGGGAGAAGACTCCGGGGACTGGGGGTGGGTGTTTGTACCCCAGGGGCCCAGGTTCCATCCCCAGAAGTGACTCAGACCTGAGCCAGGGGTCCCCTGGCTCTGCTGGCTGTGACCCCCAAAATCAGTCATCAGACTTTCCAGTTAAATAA